AAACGAATGAACGGATTTTAAAATGCCATGAGACTTTTTTGTACAAACTTTATTTGACTTTAAAACTGTGTATCATAAAAAAATTTTAAATTAATATTTCATAGAAAAATAATTTTTTTAAATTTTTAACCTTTTATGCCCCCTTAGATTTTTTCAAAAATACCCCAAAATGTTCCTTATTTCATCACCTTTTTACCCCCCAAAGAGAATTTTGGGACAGCAATATTTGTATGAGTTACAAATAAAAAACCAACTCAGCGCAACTCTCTCAATCCAAGCAGTTTCTTTGTTTGCCTACAAATTGCAGNTAACTCATACAAATATTGCTGTCCCAAAATTCTCTTTGGGGGGTAAAAAGATGATGAAATAAGGAGGATTTTGGGGTATTTATGAAAAAAATCTAAGGGGGCACAAAAGGTTAAAAATTAAAAAAAAAAATTTTCTATGAAATATTAATTTAAATTTTTTTTATGATACACAGTTTTAAAGTCAAATAAAGTTTGTACAAAAAAGTCCCATGGCGTTTTTAAATCCGTTCATTCGTTTTAAAATTATGGCGGTTCGAAATTTTTTTTGCAAAAAAGTTTGACCCCTGACAGTATGGCAACCCCGCATTACACAGACCTAACATATAGAACTTTTTTTTTCGAGTGGCTTTTTTGCAGAGAATGCCTGGTATGTGGGTATATGAATAACGATCGCTTAAAATTGATCTCAAATTTGTACTTGCGCTGTAGAAATTTCTATGTAATGTAGTTTGACTATTTTCAATTTAATATAATGCTTGTATTGCATGCGATCCACGTTTTTCGTTTTCAATCTCATAAATTGTTTATAATGACTTTTGCTAAAATTTCAAAGTCAAAAGTTAGCAAAACAAATTCTATGGGACTGAGAAATATTATTTTCTACTTTTTAGTCCATTTATAAAAGCGTGGTATATTAAAAATGTATTTTATTTATGTATGTATTAATTTACTCATGCTAATCAGGTTATTTACTTAAGTCCTACTGTATCTAAAGGTGAGAATTTCTATTCTATTCTGGATGGTAGCGTTAAGTGTAAGCTTTATTTATATTTGAACCATTTGTTTTATTAGTACATGCGAGTACATTAAGATATTTTTTTTTTGTAATTTTTAAGGCGTCAACTTCAGAGCTATTGAAGTGCTTAGGACTATTTCTACACTACCGATGTAAAAAATTGAAAACCTTCGAAGCAGGTGATGCTGTTATGTGGTTAAGAGCTGTTGACAGGAGCCTTTTACTTCAAGGCTGGCAAGTAAGTATATTTAGCGAAACTTTCTTTAAGTATTTATACATTAATGTGCCTAACTATTAATGTGCCTAACTAAAACGTTTGTACATTAGACTGATCGATATTAAAATTTTTTTTTTATTATATATGGTGTTTTCCGGACAGAAAAATGTGTCTATTGATCTAAAAATAAAGTGTGCAAAATTGTATTCCCATGTAATAACTCTAAACACGTACGTGTACGTTGCATTTGAAATTTCAGAAATCCGGATGTTTTCAGAGAAATATGTTTTATACAAATTATTAAAAATCGTGAATTTTCTACTGATGTATTATGTAAAAGAACTCATAGAATGGATGTTATCGTTTTTCTTTCAAATTCAGAAACATACATTTTGTTTTCCAAAAATCTCGAGTTTTAATCTTTTGTGGATGGCGCTGAATCATGATATTTAGATGCCCCTTTACAAATCTACATTTTAGATGACTTAATAAATCCCCATTCTTTAAGTATGCACACAAAGAAGCGCAAAATTGTTTAAACTCCATAGATAAACTAGGCACATCAACGGATGATCGGTATATCAAAAGTGTGCTGAATTAGAGAGAACACGGTAGGAATATCAATGACCCCGTTTGAACGGGAAAACTCTTTCATCTTGTGGAACAGCAGGATTATAGAAGAAGATTGCGCACTCTTGCAAGCCTTGCAATATTGCAGATATCTCGCCGGTGGAAATAAGATCTCTTAGCATCGAGGAGATTAGTACCTATGCCATATGTTATCTCAGCCCTATTATTCTTGGCCTATGAATAAGCAAGGTTCTGCTCTTCAGTTCTTTCAACCTAAACTATTAATTTTTACATTACAAACCGTTTTTGCATAGCAACACTATTATTGTTTTGTTTTGGCCAAAGCAAAAGCTCTTATAAGGCGTCACGAAGCAAGCCAGTCATTTGCTAGTACTACCCAAGAATGATAGAATACAAGATTGTGCCTATCAGAGAGGATTTTTGAGAATAATTTTATGTGACGTCACACTGGTGCAATTGCGAGAGAGAAAGTTGTAGTTTCGGGGCTCTGGAAAATCGTAATTTATTATTTAATTTTCCTTAATTTCTATAAAAGAACATATAACAAATAACAATTTGAAACATTCGGTAGCGTCACTTGCAGTGACTGGGTAACGGCTCCTTGTCCCGTTATGAGCCCGTTAGGCTGTAGTGGCGTGACTTTGGTACTGGTGGGCAGCGCTCTGCTGACGCCGGAGAGTAGCGATGCTAACGTCTATAAGCGGTGTTCTGGCCGCGTCGGTATGTAGCGCTCTTGCAAGGTGGGTTGCGCTCTGGTGGTGCCGGTGAATGGCGTTCCAACAACGCTGGTGGGTAGCGCTCTGGTGACGCCGGAGAGTAGCGATCCAGTTGCGTCGAGATGTAGCGCTCTCAGCAATGCAGGTGAGGCGCACCGATGAGTGGTACTTTGGTGGCGCCGGGAGTAACGTTTTACTCGCGCCGCTGGGCGGCGCTCTGGCGACGTCGACAAGTGGCGCTCTATTCGCGCCGGAGAGTACCGCGCTAATGACGCCGGAGAGTATAGTTCCACTCGCGCCGTTGGGCGGCGCTCTGTTCGCGACGGAGAGTCGCTCTAGTGGCGCTGTTGTTGCCGCTCTGCTGAGAGCGGTGAGAAGCGCTCTTGTAGGCGCTGTCGACGTCCCTCTGCTAACGGCGCTGCTGACTGCGGTCGAGCGGATGTCGCCCGTACGCGGTTCTACGAGAGGCTGTGGTGAGAGCGTGTGTAGCTTCTGGCGCTGCCACTGGGAAGGTGACGTCCAGCCCGACGCTCAAGCCGGTGCAGAAGAAATCACCCTACCAGCCACTGTTGCAGAAGTGGAATCAAGTCCGACGCTCGAGCCGGTGCAGAAGAAGTCACTTCTTGCCAGTAGCCGTATGCTCACGACCACAGTCTCGTGCTGACTGACTGGTTTCTCGTCGTTCTACTCCTTTAATAGGCTATGTGCTTGATGTTGCGTGGTCGCGCAGCTACGTGTTGCTGTGTGATGTTGCGTTGTCATGTCGAGTGTTGTTATGACTTGTGTTGCCGTGGTTTGCTGCGTGGCCCGTTGCGCTGACTTAAGTTGCTGTGGTGTGACTGGTTTGGTTGGTGGTGCGGGAGTTTGTGTGGGCTAAATTCTCTGGGGACATTTAGTCCTCACACTCCCCCCCTACTTGGTGGTCTGGAACTCCCCTGGCTCTTGGGTGGATGTGCGCGCCCCAGTGGTGTACGGTTACCCTGTAGTCTTTGGTGCTGGACCTCAGCCGGGGTTTGCATGCGCGGTGATATCTCTGAAGCTCCGACGGATTCTGTCCGCTATTGTGGCGAACTGGTCTAATGCCGGTCCCTCTGCGTCGCTGATGAGGATGCTTATTTCCTCTGGTGGTTCGCGGTTGAATGGCTGGTTGGAGTGACGTACGAAGTTAAAGTTGGTTAATTAATTCAATTATTTGTGTGGTCGTTCCCTTTTTTTTTTTGTGTGTCTCCTTGTGTCTATATGGCCTCACTGGTATGATACGTCTTTAATTCCGTGATATTGGAAGTATTTTCCCTCCCTCCATCGGTCTTGCGTAACTGAACGATCACCGGTGATATGTACCTCAGGATTTTGTAGGGGCCGTCATATTTGGGTGCCAATTTCGCTGTGAATCCGTCCGCGGCCTTGGATAGATGGTGTTCCTTGACGAGAACTAGTTCGCCGACCCTAGGGGTCCATTTTCGACGTCTGAGGTTGTATTGGCGGGCCTGGTTCGTCGCCGCTCTCTCCATGTTGTGCCGGACAATCCTGCATGCCTCCTGCATCCTGCTGGTCTTCTCCTCGGCAGTAGGGGGAATAGTGCCCGTCCCAATGTTGACCTCGTCAAAGAGTGCTCCATGTAGTCGTGGCTCACGGCCTTGGACGAGAAAAGCTGGGCTGTACCCAGTAGAGGTGGTGACACTGGTATTTATGGCTAGCTCAATTTCAGGGAGGAGATCGTCCCATCGCTGGTGTTGCGATCTGGTGAGTTGAGCTATTATTCGCTTGACCGTCCGGTTAGCGCGCTCTGTTGGGTTCTCCTGGGGGGTGTATGGCGCGGTAAACTGCTGTCGTATTCCCATCTCTTGGAGGTAGCGTTGCCACAGCGTGCTGGTGAACTGGACGCCGTTGTCCGAGATGAGTATCTTCGAAACGCCAAATCTCGCTAGAATTCGTTCCCTGAACGCATGGCGGAGGCCTTCTGCCGTAGCGCGTCTCATTGGGACTAGCTCCACCCACTTGCTGAAACGGTCGAAGAACACCAATAGCATGGTGTTGCCATGTGTAGATCGCGGTAGGGGTCCGACGAAGTCTGTGCAGATCGTTGCGAAGGGCTCCGAAGCCACCTGTGAAAGCATTTTTCCCGCGGGTTTCTGTTGTCCTTCCTTGTATTTTTGGCAGGAATCACACTGGCGCACGTAGCAGCTGATGTCACGAAACATACCTGGCCAATAATATCGGTTGGCAATCCGCGCTACTGTCCGCCGGATGCCCATGTGGCCGGCGCTGGGAACATCATGGTTCTCCTGTAACACCCGCTGGCGAAGGGGGGTTGGTACACATAACTTCCAGGGCACTGCTTCCTCATCCTGGTTTCGGCACGGGATATGGCGGTAGAGCTGTCCGTCCTGTACCATATAGTCCGAGTATTTCTCCGGGTTGGCGTGTACTTCGCCCACGCGCTTACGACACCACTTGCATTGTGATTCCGCCGTTATCGCTTGCCGAAGGGTCTCCAGTGGTTGCCGTTATAGTGCGTCCGCGACCAGATTGAGCTTCCCCTTTCGGTATTCTATGTCAAACGTGTGTTGCTGCAACTCCAGGGCCCACCTCGCTATACGGCCGGAGGGGCTCTCGATCGAGTTCAGCCACTTCAGCGACATGTGGTCGGTGATCACCTTGAACCTGTATCGCTCCAAGTAGGGCCTCATCTTCCGGATTCCCCAAACGATGGCAAGGCACTCCTTCTCTGTGGGCGAGTAGTTGGCCTCCGCTTTGTTCAATTTTCTGCTGGCATAAGATATTACGCCTTCGCCTCCTTCTAACTCTTTTGTCAGTACCGCTCCCAGGCCAAAGTTACTAGCGTCCGTCTATAAGGTGAATCGCTTGTTAAAATCTGGACACGCGAGTACGGGGGCCTCGATGAGTTTCGAAGGCCTCTTGTTGTTCGACTCCCCACTTCCAGTGCTTACCCTTTGTCAGGAGTGCAGTTAGTGGTTGGCTTAACGTGGCGAAAGCGGGCACGAAGCGACGGTACCACGAGGCTATCCCGAGGTACTGGCGTACTTCCTTCACGTTAGACGGTGGTTTTAGTTCTTGGATCGCGGCTACCTTCTCGGGATCGGTGTGGATTCCCTTGTCACTGACCACATGACCCAAGTATCAGAGTTCCTTCTTGAAGAAGTCGCACTTCTCGGGGTTAATGCGGAGATTCGCGCGTTGTAGTCGTGCTAGTACTTCTCGTAGGTTTTGTACGTGCTCCTCGATGGTGGAGCCTATGACGATAATGTCGTCTAGGTAGGCGAAAGCGTGGGGTTCCATTTCTGGGCCGATGACCTGGTCGAGTGCTCTCTGAAATGTTGCTGGCGCGAAGTGCAAGCCGAAAGGCATGACGCGTCATTGAAATAATCCGCGCCCCGGCACGGTGAAGGCCGTGTATGGGCGACTGTTCGGTTCCAGGGGTATCTGCCAGTAGCCATTTTTGAGGTCTAGGCTGCTGATCTATTTAGCCCTACGTAACTTGTCCAGTATCTGTTGTATTCTGGGTAAGGGGTATGCGTCGGGTACTGAACGGGCATTTAGTTGCCGATAATCCACCCCTTAGAGAGAAGCTCGTCGATCTCTGCGTTGATGATGGCCTGCATCGCTGGGTTGCGCGGAAAGTACCGCTGCTTGATGGGGTTATGACGATCCTGTGCTCCGCCACGTTGGCCACTCTGCTCATGGTCTCAAACT